TACGACCATTCAGACTTTGAGATACGACTTGGGCAACTGAACAAGCACTGATCAAAGGAAAATGGTCAAACCCAGGGAAGATGGAATTACCTTATTGTCCTGCATTATAGACAGGTACCAGGTAAATCCCCATTTGGCACATGGACACAGGTTATTATGCCTGGGACCCTGACAACAGTGAAAAGACTATAGAGAGAACCTTGGTACAGGGGTTGCAGGGGTAGGTCATAGTTTTAAACGGCTTGATCTGACGAGGAAGAGTACTACACAGTAATAGAGCTAGCCCTTACCACGTCGACGGCTAGACACCATAATAAGCGGTCGTCAAACAAGGGGTTCATGATATAAAATTGTCTCATCTAAGTCCCTCGCTGAGTCGATGGTTCTCTATTTGACTTCGAGCCCACGTGGTCTATGTATAATGGCTTATCAGAAATCGGCTTATGTACCAGTATATGGATCGGCCACTACTAACGACTCAACCTCAGGCGCCTTAGTGTAATTCAAGGGGGAACAGATGGTGGTCTGACTTGCTGATCATTTCGTTCTAGCGTGCACTGTTATCCGGTCTTTCGTCAGGGTCCTGGTAAATCGTTCCGTCCTCGACGTACAAAATGCCCTCGAAGGTTCTCACATTGACAGTACTCCTTGACTTGGATTTGTCCAAATTCTCTGTGCTCTCGTCAGGCCTAACTGAGATCTACTCGCCCAACACATGTCTAGAGATCTCGTCCAGGTCCTTCTCAGCTGGTGCTCGTCCCACGCACGTCTCGTTAATCTTTGTCTGGAATCTAAGGCGTCCGGGCAGGAGGCGTCCTCTTCGCATTTCAGGGGGCTGTTACCTGTGCTGACGGCTACTGGAATTTGACTGCATCTGACGGGTATCCAGCAGGCATTGCCATCACAGCATCATGGGGCGACTGGTCTGTACCGCTTGTCGAGTTCATGTTCTTCAGGATTATGGGGGCCAGGAGGCGGAAACGCCCAACCTGACAGCTGGGGTGGCTTAATAACCTGCTATGGACGAAACATCCTGGCCGCAGGCTTCTGGCGATTCCGGCACACACTCCTTCGGTGCCGTGTCAGATTATCGGTAAATGATGAGAGGATAACTTAAGGAGGACAAGATCGTAATGAGAAAAAGAAAAACAAAACAGAGAAAAGGGCGGGTGTTAAGAGCCCTAGCCGATTATTCATGTTCATTGTCAATTTACGATTTTTTCGTCTATTTTGAGTTTTACGTTCACCAAGTTAAAGAAGTTAATAGGAGAAGGAGACATCAGTAGCGGCCGCAAGGACTGGCTTGAAATACTAACCGTCCTTGCTAGCATTGACAAATAGATAAGGGACACGATAACAGCAATCCAAAAGGATTTACTTGAACCAATTGTCGTCACACAGAAAAGAAATGTAAGTAAAATAAGACATTATATATCATGTCACTCATCACGACAGACAAAATCGCAGGTATATATATACTTGTATATATATACTTATACATATATATATATATGTATATATATACTTATATATGAGTATATATATATACTATATATATATTATATATATATAGTAGTATATATATATGGATATATATACTTATATTATATAGATATATATAGATGATATAAGAGATGTAGATAAGTATAGAGAGATTATATATATATATAGGGAGTATAGTATCGATATAGATATATATTATATATATAGAGATAGAAGATAGGATTAAGAGAGATTATATATGATAGATATATATAATAGGGTATATATATGATATAATCTATAGATAGATAGAATCTATATCGATATATGTATATATATATATATATGTAGAGATAAGATATATATATATAGATTATATAGATATATATGTATGATAATGGAATCATATATAGATATATATAGTAGATATATATAAGATATATATATGTAGAGATACTATAGATAGATATATATATATATATATATATATAGTATGATATATATAACACATATATATAATCTAGAGTATATATATATATATATATATATTATATAATATATATATGTTATATATGTGTATAATATAGATATACATCTATAGATGATATATAGAGATGATACATAAGATATATACACAATATATATATATATAGAGATATATTATCTATAGATATATATTATAGTAGAAGATAGATATACATATTATAGATAAGATAGAGATCATAGATATATATAGATATATATATATACAGTATCTAGTGATATAGTATACGATATAGATAAGATATATATATGTGAGTATATATAGATACATAGAGATATATACTATATATATTATATATCTATATATATATAGAGTAATCTAGATAGAGATTAGATGTAACGATATAGATATAGATATAGAGAGATATAGTATAGCACAGAGATATATATATAGATATAGTATATTAGATATATAGTGAATTATAAGCTAGATAGAAATGTATAAGTTAATAGATAGAGCAGAGAGAGATATCGAGATATATAGAATATATATGATATAGAGTATATAGATAGAGAGGAGATAGATATAAAGGTGGATATAGAGAGGGATATATAGAGAAGAGGAGACATATAAAGATATAGAGATAATATAATAAGATATAGTAGGAGAGAGATATATTAGTATATATATAAGGATATATAACTTAGACCATATATATAAGGGATATATAACGTTCTATATAATATAGATATATATATATAATAGAGATATATATATATATGTATATCTATAGATAGATATATATATTACTATATATATATATATATATATATGTATATATAGATATATATAAACCATATATATACATATATAGATTATATATATTATATATATATATATATAGAGAAATATATATATATATATAGATATAGATATATATAATATATATGATATATATACATTATAAGGTATATATATATATATATTTTTAAAATTTTTTTTTTATTATATATATATATAACATTCTGGCAGTCTATATTTATTCATTAATACATAGATGCATATATACATTAATATATAATTATATAATATATATATCATAGATAATATATATATTATATATATATATTTTTTTTTTTTTTTTTTTTTTTTTTTTTTTTTTTTTTTTTTTTTTTTGTCAACAATCCATCATTCCACTGCAGGACATAGGCCTCTCTCACTTCAGTATTGAGGAAGTAACTGGACAGTCAGTGTCACCCTTTGCCTGATTGAATGCCCTTCAAATCAACGCGGTCGGCGCGCTAACGCTTGTGCCACGGCGGCGATTCCCCTACGACACCTGAGGTTGGAATTCGCAAGGCGATATGTCGTTTTCTCGGGCTCGAGCAAGCAGTCAGAGCGCAGGCATTTTTTACGATGCCGCGACTGGGATGAACCCGGCCACGAGGTTCGGAGTCCAGTGATCTAACCACGGCGCTATCGCGGCAAGTCATATATATATATATATATTATATAATATATATATATATATATATTATAATACATATATATATATAATATAGACACACACATCTATATATATTATATTATATATATCTATATATTATATTATGTATATATAGAGTGGATATTATATATATATGTAGATAATATGTATTATATATATATATATATATATAATATATATATAGGTATATATATATATATATATATTATATATTAATAGAATATATATAAGATATATATATATATATAAACTTAGTTTTTTCAACATCCATTTATCAAACTGCTAGGACATAGACTCTTCAATTTTACTATTGAGAGAGCTGGGTAGATAGATGTTCTGCTATTATATATGTGTCTCTA